GAGAAGTGAAATGTCTTCCTCAAACAAAAAACAGCCCAGTTGCCTTTTGAAAAAACACCTTTGAGGTAATTTTTTAAAAGATGAAATCCTAACATAGGATTTGGCACTGGGTTATTTTGATGACAGAATGATAAAACTGCCCAGGTCCTAATAAAAATCACATTGTGGCAAAATGGGGAGAAAATACATTACTTACTTACTTAATTAATTAATTAATATGGTTTTTTTTAGTTAATCTTAAAAAAAAAAAAAAGCTTTTGTAGAAGAACAGACATGAGACCACGTGTTGTTTTAGCTTGTCACTGCAATGCTAACTATAATTTAAATATTATATATAATAAAGCTACCATATTATGCACAACATAAACATCATCAATTTATTATGCTCAGATTAAAACTGCACACAAGAGTCCAGGAAATGACTTTAGGAGAGGAATGGAAATCTATATTTTTAACCTTTTTTTCACCTTTGTTTATGTATATAAAGGCTTCATGAATAAAAGATCACACATTTCATTTACAAGTTCTGCTGCTACAATCATACTTGAACTTTCCTTTGAATTTTACTTTTTGAAAATATACAAAATCCATCAAGGAACGTTTGACATTCTGCTTAATTTGGTTCTTATTGTATTACTTAGCTTTTAAAATTTACACCCCTATTAATTTAAGGAATTATGAAATGAACCAAAATAATCCACATTAGCTCCTTAACTTATACAGGTAGTCCTTGACTTATGACCACATTGAGCCCAACATTTCTGCTGATAAGCGAGATAGTTGTTAAAGGAGTTTTGCGCTATTTTACAACCTTTCTTGCCAAAGTTGTTGAGTGAATCACTACCTTAGTTGTTAAGCTAGTAGCACTGTTGTTAAGTGAATCTGGGGTCCCCATTGCCTTTGCTTGTCATAAGGTCACAAAAGGTGGTCACATGACCCTGGGATACTATAATTGCCAAGCTTCTGAATTTTGATCATGGGGATGCTGCAATGGTTGTATGTGTGAAAAACAGTCACTTTTCTCAATGCTGTTGTAATTTTGAATAATCACTAAACAAATTGTTGTAAGTAGAGGACTACCTGTATAAAAAATAACATCTTACAGCTAATATGACCCTCATTTTATCCATCACCTCTTGATGGCTTCAGGACAGCATTAACAATGCAAAAAATAATACATTGTTTTACTTGAACATTAATCCATTTTGTTTCTTCTGGCTCATACATTTCCCTCCCCCCAAACAACCAGAATCTATTCTGCAGTGAAATAATAGAAGGCATCTAAGGTAGAAGAGGGAATAAAGTATTAAATAGCAAAGTGATGTCTTATTCAGTACACATGGTCAAAGAATGCTGTTTCTCATCAGTAAAAAAGAAAGGCTGTTAAAAGATTAAGAAATCTTTTACATAAATGATATCTTTTATCACATCTCTGGCTTGGTCTTGCTATTTGACAGATAGAAATTTAATAAATGAAATGTTCTCTAGGTCAGGGGTCTGCAACCTTGACAACTTTAAGACTTGTGGACTTCAGCTCCCAGAATTCCTCAGCCAGCATAGCTGAAGTCCACAAGTCTTAAAGTTGTCAAGGTTGCAGACCCCTGCTCTAGGTCTAGTAATAGTAAAAAGTTACTCTGCTCAATTTTATTGATTAAGAAAATGTATATGGCTGCCAAACCCACTCACGGCAACTCCAGATGGCTTGCAAAAGTAAACATCAAATACAAAACTAATGACCCCACCCAACCCGACCCTTTGTGACAATAATCAAACAAACCACTTGATGAACTCCATATTACTTTGAGGTTCCCAGGCCAGCTAGCAAACCCATGTCTTCAGCTTTTCAAGTTCCTTTTATAAGACATTAAACATTGAAAATCTTTGCCAAAGAAGATTATAAACTTTGATGAAAATTAATATCAAGAAACTGTAACTATTCAATCTCAAGAAGTAGTAGCTTGCATCTACTTATCACAGAACAGCAAACACCCTTTAAAGACATCACTCAGTGAATTTGTTCTCCATTACATATAAAACTTTTCTGAGAGTGTATTTTACAATAAGTAACAATTTGAATTACAGCCAAATATTTATTTGATCTGAACAGCAACCAAATAAAATGGGTGTGCAATATATATACATTATCCATGCTATCATGCTTACACAAAAATACATACAACTGCAAACAAATATACAGAACTGTTTAAGTTGTGCACAAAATCTACTACACTTTAATAAAACACTGTCAACTAGTTGGGCCTAAGTACATTGCTTACTAGTATTACCAAAGTGGGGAGTATCTAAATTGAGTCAACCTTGAAAACTGGGAATATAAACTATGGAGATTATATTGAGAAACAATGCTTAAATAAGTATGTAAATAGTTAAGCATAGGAATGCCTGTTTCATCATTAAACTCTGGGATACACTATTTACATATGATATCTTTGTACAAAACAGGGACTGAAGAATGTCTTTTCTGCCCAAAGATAATCTGCTGATTTATTTTTCTTTTAAAATGAAGTCTTCCAGAATTCAAAGGACTATTAACATTTGAACGACTTACATGAAAAATAAAATGATTTTCATTCATACTTTTTCTCTTTAAGAACGAACATGGTATCACTACATAAATATCATAGTGTCTCAATGTAGTTTCTTTAGCATCCTTATTCTTTTTTCTTGCAATCTATGTAAACATATACATTAGAAGCAAGTAGTGATACTGCTTGTGAAAATTCAAAATCAAGTGTGCCTTATGTGGTTAAAAAAATGAAAAGTAAGGGTAATGAAAGAAGTGGGGGTAGCAGTTGAAAATGTGAGTGCAGAAAGAAGTAGCACAATTGCAAACCTCTGAAGAGTAAGGCCTGCGAAGAACCAAACTCTTTGGATAAAAGAAATCAGACGAGGAATGCTGTTATAAAACAGAAAAAACAAGGAAAAGTGAAAAAAGGAGAAAGGTTTCCTAAACATATATATTAAAGAGAAGTTCCTCCCTCTCCACAAAAATTTTCTCCTTATAATCATTGTGATATTTGGTACATGACAGCAGTTAGAAAAACAGTCAACCCCCTCAAAAAGAAAAACTGATTATGGGCAGTGTTAGAAAGCAATTAACATTCCGCACAGTTTTATACCTGATTACTTTATTTCTTGCTTTTTCTGGCATCCGTAGCCTTCTATGGAAATCTCCCAAGAGGAACAGATCTTAAATAATCATTGCTTTTATGGACTCCACCTAAAATCTAACCCAGCAGGAACTCGCGATAATAAGAAGCATGCAGTCCAAGATCCGCTGTAGACAAAATGCTGTATAATGTACTGATGACTGCTGAAGCTATTTCAACAAGTAATTCTGGTTGTATATATTTTGGTTATCAGGGGAAATACAACGAGAACAGTTTTGATTCTCTGTAATGCTATACACTTTTTGGAACTACCGTTTCTCAAGAAATAGTTTACATTTTAGATGCAAATGTCTTTTTACACTGAGCTGCTGCACTTGCTCATGTAGGAGAGAAAGAAAGGAATAGCTGCAGTTTCCTTGGAAACGGGGAATTTTGCTAAATGGTTTTGAAAGGTCAATAACAATTAGCTGGAGAATTATTACCACACTAATAACAACACATAAACAATCTGGCTAACAGCACGTTTGGATCTTCAACTTAGAGATGAACTAATCCTACAACAAATGTGTTTGTTTATTAGCATTTATATCCTGCCCACGTCCCAAGACTCAGGCAGTTAACAAGAATCATTCTTTTAAAAGAATCATACTTCTGACTTTACTATTTATCAGTAACTCAGTCTTTGTGGCTACTTAACCTGGTCTTACAAATTTTAATGATATCCAAAAGGGATATTTAATGAATAGATCTATATGCTAGGAATCAACACAGACTCAAAGGCCCACCCATCCACAAAAATGAAGCCAAATGAAGATAATGATGCAAAACTTAGGTCAATATATTTGTCTGGAACACAAACAACTACTGACAACTTCCCATTTATTAATACAAATAATGCTTTGTCCATACCAGTAAAAAGGAAAATAATATTTTCTTTCTGCCCCTTCCCTCAAAAAAATCCCATTTTTCCAGAGTACATAGCAAAAAAAATCTTTTGGGAAAATATGGGAAATAAAGTTTAGTCCTTCCTTTAACCAGTGGAAACTTTTCTAAGATCTTCTTCATTTCAGGAATAGAAGAAAAAAATCCAGATCCAGATATTATCAGTAAGAATGGAATATATTACTTTGAAATCTGAAAATTTTGGAAGTTAATTTATGTATTGATGAAATTTATATACTTCTGAACTGTTAAGGGTGTAGAAAGGGGAAAAATGTAAAAATGACACTGGTGAATTAAAGCAATGATAAAATGCACAACAGTTTTCTCCAAGGCCTTCCATAGGACACTGGAATACTGTTTTCCTAGAAAGGCGATAAACATTTGCCAAATATCATGTTACATGACTGTTTTTCAGAAACTCAGGATGCTTTTTATTCCTTTTGTTTTATTCATAGAACCTGAACAATATTCTGTGATGGACCCCACATATGGAAGAGTATTCTATCAGTTGTGAGTATGCAAGTCTATAAGTATATTGGATTATATTGTCAGTTTATAGCATAATCATAAATTCAAATGATTTATGATTCCTTTTTCTTTAATGGGTTTCAGAATGATAAAATACATAAATTGGCAGAGTTCTTATACATTATCTGTTCTTTGCTGAGGCTTATCCTAGAGTCATATTAACTTTAAATAAATAAACAGGATCACATCCTTAAGGCTATAAAAAACATTTCCAATTTCTAAAGGAATCATATAAAATTAAAATTTTATTTACAACCCAAGACCAAACACAAGAAAAAGATCAACAGTAAAATAATTATGAAAAGGATTTTTTAAAATTTGCAAAATAGTAATATTTTATGTGAAAGAAATCATCATATACAGTAGTTTAAAAAAATTCAGAAAATGCAAATTACTCCTTACCCTTAGCTTTTCATCTCCCTTTGTAGACAGTTTACAGTCGGGATGCCAAACTGTAGAGCCTATTGTGGAAAAAAGCAAGATAAATCATATTACATTTCATTCAACTCTGAAGAAATCCATTTAAAATAGTGACTTTAATTCTTCCCACCTTCTTTAACTGCAAAAACTTCTGCAGTAGCGTCTTGACTTGGATCAGTTTTCTTTTTAACAGAAGACTTAAATTGTATATTACAAACTGCTTTCCCAGCACCTTCTTGGGCCACTCTAAATTGGCTCAGAAGATTGAAATGTTTCCTGAGACAGATCATGCTAGACAAAGCTCATTGCATTATTTGACCAGGTGACAAAATTAGTGGACCAGAGGAATGCTGTGGATATAATTTACTTGCAATAAGGCATTTGATAAAGTAGACCACAACCTACTACTTGATAAGATAGAAAAATGTGGGTTAGACAGCATCGCCAGCAGATGGAAACATGTTATAGTCACAAGAGCACTAGAAAAAACTTGTTTTCTATCAGTAAATTCTGGTACTTCTTATTTTTGGTTTAAAAAGAAAAGAAAAGAAAAAAGATTCAGGAAATTCTATATTGATTTATACTTTAATCTTATTTTATCATTTCCTAATAACACCCCTGGATAGGGATATGAACTGAAGCAAACCAACATTTTTATATTTGGTCAGAATCAGAAAAAAATGATGTAAGAAAATCCACAGAGATTAGTTCATGACACTGAAAGCAAAAGAGTTCTATTATAACCTCAGTTCAGCCTTGAAGACCCTGTTAACATGTTCCTGGATGGCAGGTCCTGTGACAGAGGTGAGCTTCCTAGGCCCCATCAGAACTTGCTGTTTAATGGATGGTACCTGGACCATGCCAACTATGTCCACTTGTACAGGATGATAAGAAACTATGGAAGTTCCTAAAATAATCATGCCATGTAGGCTTTATAGGTAATAACCAACATCTTGAATTGCACCTGGAAGTTGGGGCATACTATAACTGCCCATGTTTATGCATTCAGCATTAGCTGAAGCTTCTGCCTACATATATCAATATATAATTTCTATACCTTGCAGATACATTTCTTCTCCTTCTGTGAACATTTGGTTGCATCTGCTGCATCGTGCACAACTTGGATGGTAATGTTTGTCTCCTGCCTGCAGAAAAGATAAGTATGGAGAATAGAATGAGATCTACAGTATCTTTCACCAATATTTATACAAAAATGGCACAGTTCCAGTTCAAAATCTTATCCAAGAGGCTACCCTAGCTTAGCCTTTCATATGTTATGATTTTTAATGAACTGCACTTTTCTAAAGCTAACATACTACACATTTTGAAAAGGCAAGTTTCAGTCTCTTCAGTTAGATGAGTTAGTGATGTATACAAATTCGTAATGTCATATTTCTTTCTTCTGTCATATTTCTTTCTTCTTTCTTAGGCCCATAGTTTAGTTATAGCAATTTTTTTCATTGCCTCTCTCCCCTTTTATTTTCACTACTATTAGTGAAATATAATAAGCAGGCATTTTTTCTTTATAGATAAATGGAGCTAGCATTTTTATTCTATTTACTTTCACCACTCACTGACTGCTATTGCTTTTGGTAGTGGCAAAAGCAGAGCAAGATTTCTGAATTGAAGAAGGCAGTCTTTATATACAGATTGCAGTTTACGTTCTGTGTTTTTCTCATAGTTATTTTTTTATTGAATTTTAATTAGAACTCATTATCTTGGTATTTCTCATTAATATCTTTATCACATGAATCAAGATATTGTGATACTGTTCTACTTCTGTAACTGCGCTAATCAGACAGAATGGAAACTGGCAAAGTTCCAACTTACATCATATAAAATGGAACTTAATCTATTGGTCTTTAATATTGTAAATGGCAATAATTAATTAGTTTTTCATTATTTTAAGATGAATGTATACCTTTTATATAAATTACCATGTACTATTGCTTATACTCATCTGCGTATCAAATACCCTTACCTCTGAAATGAAGATAAAAGCTTTAAATGTAAAATTGTTTCATACTAGGGTACAAAAATAAAGGCTTTAAAAATGTAAGACTCTATCAGGTAAAAAGGAATAGCAGGCTTAATTTTAATGATAAGCTGTGACTGTAACGTAAGCTAAAATTTTGTCTCAAATTTATGTGTAAGGAGATTTCTCTCCTTAACAATGGTAACTGTTGAGAATTACATTCTATTTCTAGCGATATAAGCATTGAGAAAGCCTACTAAAATAGTGTTAAGGTACAGATATGTATCACACAATTTTTCACAGTTAAGAAAAATAAATAATGTAATGGAGAATTAACATGACATTATTTTAAAATAGTTTGCCTTTAAAATATGATAGCAATCCCTAAATCAGTTAAAGAAAGAACTATGGATATTTCAGAAACAGGAGTCATAACATAACTTGAGGGCTTTAGATGAAGGAAAATGTTCTAGATTGCAGAGATTTTAAAATGTATTTTAAATTACACAATTATCACTGATTGTTCTGGATCGTGTAACCCTGACTAGAGCATGTAGATCTGTATGTTAGAATGTTTGGCATTTATTGGGTTAAGTGCTGTCTCCTTAAGAGATGGCTTATGGGTAATGTAGTTTTAGCTATTCAGCAATCCCATGTTATCAGATCTGTGGCAAGAGCCACTAAAGTTCATCACAGGATATCCTGGCCATGTGGCAGTTTGGAATGCCTTTGTCTGGGTTAAGCATGGAACCATCGGAGGACTCAGATGGCCTCATTCCACGTTAGAAGTTGGTGTGGAGGAAGTATTAATTTCTTACCTATAAGAATGAACAGATGTGTATTATCCAGAAGCAATAACCATAACTGCAAGTATCTCTGAATTAAATATCTGTTTTAAAACCATTCTTATTGAGTTTATCTGTCTGATCTGGGTTTACAAAGCAACTAAACTCTGGATCAGAACACTGATAAATGGAGACAAATAGAGTGTTTTCTGTTTGTGCTCTTTCACACAAAAGTTAATACTGATAAGATAATTAAGTAGAATTATTAATGATAAAATTACTTCTCCCATAAAGCCTTCATATCTCTATAGGCAAATTAGAGCAAGAGTGTCTGAGAGTTGTCTAAATTTATTAAGACAGGTTCCAAATAGCACAAATATCAGTGTCTACAGCTGCCAAAATTTGCATACCATGAACAGAGGGAGGAGACACAAACATACATAACAAAATTTATTAAATTAAAGTGATACAGTGAGATATCAGAAAGCTAATTTCTTCTCAATTAGTACATAATTCACTGAATCAGTGACTTACTTTCTGGAAAAACTATGTTTTCTTAACATGCCAATTAAGCTAACATCAGAACTTCTGAAAATCTATGAAATCTTCAATCCCAAAACTTTGGGTTTTTAATTTAAAAAAACAACAACATACTTTTGCAAAGTATTGGAGAATCATGGATTCAGGCCTGCAGAAATGTACTTAAAGTTGTCAGAAATAGATTTAGCAGGCCGTCTGGCAAATATTCAAATTAAACCACTTTGGTTAAAAATTCAAACTAATTACTGGCTACAATGTTTATATGAAAAACATGTTTACAAATCATATTACTTAAAGAATATATTCCTTTTAAAATCATTGATATTGTTATAATGAAATCCTATGCATGTCTACTTGGAAATCGGTCATAGGAGGTTTAACATAATTTACTCCCAAGTATACAATGTTTATATGAAAAATATGTTTACAAATCATATTACTTAAAGAATATATTCCTTATAAAATCATTGATATTGTTATAATGAAATCCTATGCATGTCTACTTGGAAATAAGTCATAGGAGGTTTAACATAATTTACTCCCAAGTATACAATGTTTATATGAAAAATATGTTTACAAATCATATTACTTAAAGAATATATTCCTTTTAAAATCATTGATATTGTTATAATGAAATCC